AGAGAGAGAGAGAGAGAGAGAGAGAGAGAGAGAGAGAGAGAGAGAGAGAGAGAGAGAGAGAGAGAGAGAGAGAGAGAGAGAGAGAACCTACGACACCCCCCCGGCACCCACCTACCCACAGTCCGATCAGCTTCGTATCGGATCTGTGGTCCATCGGAACACAAAAAAAAGAAGCGGAAAAAAATGCGCAAACTTGAGCTCGCACGTGCGCGCGCGCGCGCGCGCAAGAGAGAGAGAGAGAGAGAGAGAGAGAGAGAGAGAGAGAGTGTTTAACCAACTACGCCCCCTCCCCTCCCCCCCTCCAATCAAGTGTATTATCTGTCCGATCAGTTTCATACCTGATCCAGGGTCCATCGAGACCATTTAAAAAAAAACACAAAGGGAGGGAAAATCCGCAAGAGAGAGAGAGAGAGAGAGAGAGAGAGAGAGAGAGAGAGAGAGAGAGAGAGAGAGAGACAGAGAGAGACAGAGAGAGACAGAGAGACAGAGAGACAGAGAGAGAGAGACAGACAGAGAAACTCGCAACCCCCCCCCAACGATCAGGTGTAGTATCTGTTCCGATCAGTTTCATATCTGATCCGTGGTCCATTGAGACCTTTAAAAACAAAGAAAACAAGAAACAGAAAATCCGCTCGCGCACTGATCAGTTTAATGGGGACCTTAAAAAAACTAAAAATGGAAACACGAGTGATGACGGGAAAAAAAAAAAAAAGTGAAGTGACTGCGTGCGCGCACGCAGCCGCAAGAGGGAAGACGCACACACACACACCCACACACACAGAGAGAGAGAGAGAGAGAGGACGGGAAGGCCGGAGAGGGAGGGAGCAGACAGGCGCTTGAGCAGGATGGTCCATCGGGACCAATTAAAAAGAAGGGAAAACAAAAAGCGGAAAATCCGCTAGTGTGCGCGCTCCAGAGAGAGAGAGAGAGAGAGAGAGAGAGAGAGAGACCATCGACTTCTTTGTTCCATCTTGGCAAACATTCCTCCTCTTTTGCGGGCATAGCCGCAACAGGTCCCCTAGTCAATCTGTTACCTGCAATAATTCTGTTCCAGTATCACGTGCAAATGTAGATTTGTGAGCACGGGTGAGGTATGAGTGAATGGTCGTAGATTTGTGAGCACGGTTGCGGTATGAGAGAATGGTTGCAGGTACAGGTACAGGCATATATGGGTGTGGGTGGGTATGGCCACGGACGAGCACCAAGGCTCGTCTTGCATTGTATTTAGTATTTACCATCTGAACTTCTGAAGTTAGGTGTGAATGCTATGGATGCTATGGAATTGCCATCGTCCCTACGCTATTAAAATTGCTAACGTGACAAATCTGAAATTCAGGCCGTCGTCGGTCCTACCGGCCCACGGTCCAGATCCACCGAAACATGTAACAAATCTGCCATCTGGGACGTCGGGTCCTACCAGACCGACGGCCTGGATAGATGCAGTCTTAAACCACCAGTACTTGGCCCAGCTATCGAAGCCGAGCCTCCCAGCACCCTGCGCGCCAAGTCCTACCGAACCGCCGTCGCCCTTTTTTGTTTTCTTTTTGGCTGTGGCCTCCAGCCAATGCGGTCCGGTAGGCCGAAGACCGAATGTCGCGACACGGCCGATCGCGCGTCGATCCAGGCCGTTGGCCCGGTACCTTGGGCCCGATGGCCCGAATTATTTGCCTGTTGGAGAGGGCAGTGGTGCTATCGGTGGTTTCTTGGCGTGGTACCTACCGGTGGAGTTTTGTGTTCTGGCAAACGGGTTCCCATAGGCTGCCCATGATGTAACTACTTTTTTGTGGTGGCGTGTACTGTTTTTGGGTGGGTGCGTGCGTTTTCCGTGGCGGCATGGGCAAATTCTACGGCGTGGGAAAGACCCACCCGTACTCTGTTTTATAGACTTCCACTTTCCTATCCTACGCTACTACGCTGGCCTTCGGCTTCACTACTCTACAGTATACTACCACACTCGACTTCGACTTGGCATGTGGATACACACACATGACATCTGGGCAGACTGTCGGGTTTCAACCTCCTGACGAGTCGGTGGAAGTCCTATGAAACAGCCTCGCTTAGTCATGCCCACGCACGAACACACACTACGCATTTTTACGTGCCGGAGGTTGAGCTCCACATCCTGAAGGTTGGACACTAACTGACGGTGAGTTAACTCCACTTCGTTATTGATGTCTGTTGCTTTCGTTTCTTTGTTCGCTTCAAAACTATGAGCATTTGTGTGTGTGTGTGTGTGTGTGTGTGTGTGAGAGAGAGAGAGAGAGAGAGAGAGAGAGAGAGAGAGAGAGAGAGAGAGAGAGAGAGAGAGAAAACTCTACAACGCTCGACTTTGCTACTCTCCCATACAATGTTATGACGACACACGCATTACCTCAACACCTCGTGTCCAGCAATTCGGCGGAGATGTCCGAATTGCTGCACTTTGTGCATGGAGGTTCACAAGAGCGTTTTCCTTCGGCCTGGAAGCCTTGAGTGACTTCATAGAGGTGCCATCTATCTTTCCCCCAGCGCCTTCGTGGGAGCCTGGATTAGGTGCTAGCTTCTTATAGGCAGCAATCCATATCAAACTAACTACCCCCAGGAGAGATCAGGTCTGAAAACAACTTCTACTGCTAACACTACACAAAAGAGAGAGAGAGAGAGGGAGGCATCTCCGCAATCGATCGCCGTGGCATTCGGGAGAAGAAGCATATCTAATCTCTCTCTCACAATTCGATCGAGATGGCATGTCTTGCTACCATGATTGATCGATCGATAGAGGCGTGAAATGCGTGCGCGCGCATGAGAGAAAGTGAGTGAGTGAGTGATCGAGAGAGAGAGAGAGAGAG